TCTTTTGCTCTTAGTATTCGTTTATGCATTTGTGTGCGGCACATGCCAAAGCCAAAGCCAAAGCATGGCAACTTAAGGCCCAATCTGTATTGTGTGTGCGCACACGGATAATGCAGATTACACACATTCGCTGCGGCCCGTTCAATGTTTTCTGTCTCTTTGCATATTTTCAAATTTCTGCATAAATACAGTGAAGGCCAAACTAGTAGCCTGCTTGTCAATTTGATATGTTAGCATAGGAATTCGTTACTTCGTATTTCGTAATATATAAATGGCAATGCTAAAAATTACTGAAACGGTTAACTAAATAGTCATGTGTTAAATTGTGTTTAACTCTATATATTTGTGGTAAAATATAATTTTCTAAATATTTGAATCAATTAATCAAGAAATTTTTGGCTTTCTCGTTCTGTTTGTTGCATTGTAATAGTAAAATCTGTGCTTCCCCACTATTTTGGCCACCAGTGTTTGGTCATTCATTCATTTGTCTATTTTCATGGGTTTCATGTAATTGGGCAATGTGAATGCTCGCGCACACGAAAATGGCCAAAAGACAAAATGTAGTGTGGCTAAATTTATTCAAAACAAATCGACAATCGAAACAACAACAACAAAAGTGTAGCAATCTAGGCAGTCAACTCAATAATGTAGAAACGTCGCATACTTAGAATAATAATTATGTATATTATAAATAATAATAATAATAATAATAATAATGCCGTTAAAGTATGTATGTAGTGGGGTGTGCGAGAGGCGACTGGCGCGTGTCTGACCAAAAGAAAAATACATTTAAAAGTAATAAAAATAATAATAGAAAAAAAAACAGTAACGAACAAAATATTGCCCCACACGCAGCAGCCATAATAAAGCAAAATAGATTACAATTAAAAAAAAAGAAAAAAATCACGCAGACACAAATGAAGAAAATGGCCCATAATTGTCCCATTTTTGGCAGCGGCTCAATTGAATTGTTATGCCCACACATACACACACACACAAACACCCACACACAGAGACACGACTGTTGCTTTTGCAATACAAATTCCCTGTTTACCCCATTGTGCGGTTCACTGTATAATTAGCCAGCAGCAAACTGCAATGTGATCGACGCGTGCGCCCGAAGCCAGGCGAAAAACGCCAAAGGCCGGCAACCGCAAAAGCCGCAATAAAATACCAGAAATTACAATATCAATCGCACAGTATGTCTAAGTGTGCCCAGCCCCACACGTGCGCCACGTCCTCAGGCCAGCATCGGCAGTGTGACTGGTTGATACCCTGTAAACTGTGCAAGTGGCAATTGCTTCTAATAACTGGCTGCCAGAGGTGAAAGGTTCTCTGTACGCACTGTGTGCTGTGTGCTTGTGCAAGCTATCTTAACTTGTAGTCTATATAGACTTGTCCTGTTACACATACATACATATATACTGACTAATGGTATTTATGGTACGGTCTCATTTCTCGCTATTTCTCTTATTTTTCTAGTCTCTTATATTTTCTCGCATCCTTATATACTTAAAAGCACTTTATGGTATCTGAGCTGCTCTTCGTTCCGCTCTTCCTCTCTCTCTCTCATTCTCTGTTCTTCTGTGCACTCTCATATCCACTTTACAGTATGCTTTCTGTATTCCCCTTGCTCCTTTTCTCTATATCTTCCTCTCTTTCTTTCGCTCTCTTTCTCCCTGTCTCATTCTCTCTTCCTCTTTCAGTTTATTTTTTATCTCTCTCTCTCTCTCTGCTGTCGTCTAACATACCCTTCACTTCATCAATTCCCATTTATCTTGTAATACTCTTCATCTCTGCCGTTAAAGGCGACTTAGCATAGGGTAAACAGGTAGAGCTAGTGGCGCTTGAGAGTTTCGTTAATTCCCCTAACCACACTGACGTCAGCAGCAACATCATCATCGTGATCAGTGGCTGCTGTTTGTGTGTGCTTTGTTGTTGCAAGTTCTGTGTGTTGTTGTTGCTGCTGTAGCATGTATTATTATTAATATTATTGTTATTATTGTTATTATTAATAGCCAGTTTCCCTTTGAGTCCACATTCTTTTTTCGCACGCGCTTTTTCGACCAGCGGCTCTGGGCGATAGCCGTGCACGTTTATTGCGCCGTAAGCAGGCACCAAATTTGAATTTTCGTTAGCTTGGCCCGTACGCATTAACCGATTCGCAATTAGATAGAGAAGGAGACTCTGTTCAATGCATGCTAGCGAAAATAATACATTTGTAGATATTCTCAACAGAATCTAATGAATAAAAATAATAATAAAAGTGACCCCAGCCCCAGCCCCATCCCCAGCCCCAGCTCCTTGGAAATGGTAATTGTATCCAGCGGGAGCACACACAGATGCCGTATAATAATTTTTAATAGTTTAATACCTATTCCACAGCTAGCTAACCGTACGCGAGCCTGCATCTGGCACCCGGGAATCACGTGTGTGTGCGATTTTCAGCACATTTTATAAATTCTGTTACCAACATTACGGACACAGCTAAGTTGACATTTACAAAACGGAACGGAGTTCTGCCACATACCACTCGAAGGCTCAGCTCACCTGCCAAGCTTTGAGCTGGCCAATCGCTGTGATCTGAGCTGAAGAGTTAACATTGGCTTTAACAGCATGCAATGTCAATGGAATGAACTGTTGGCCACTTTAACATTTACGTAAAGTCAGCTTAACACTAACATGTTACCAGCGCGTTAACATTCTGTTACAATTCCTTCACGTGCATGGCTAAGCGTACTGAGCTGAGCTGAAGAGCTAACATTGATTTAAAAGCATGTAATTGTTGGCCAGTTTGACCTTAACAGAGCTGAAGTTATTACCGAATGTTAACATTCAATGCAGCGAGTTAACATGATGTTAAAATGCCTTAATTTACATGCAGTTTCACATTGATGTGACTTCATTAACAGCGCTGTTCAGCTTAACATTCTGTTACGATGCCTTCATTTACATGCAACTCTTTAGCTCTCGCTCGTTTGCCTTGTCTATTTTCGTCTCATCGCAGCTGGGAAAAGACAGAAAAAACCTGTACCTGCTCAAAGCGCAGATTTTACCAATTTACCAATTTACACATTTACGAATTTACGAATTTACCTGTGCCCGATCCAGTCGCAGCTCCCCAGTGGCCCCAACAGACAAAGCGAAAAGCGAAAAGCGAAAAGTGTCGCTGATTCTATGAGTCGCTACGACTCGTCTCGAGCTCTTCCTCTTCTTCAGTGTCTGCCTTTTGCGTTTTTAGCATACATAAATATTAATTTTTTGTTAACAAATTATAAAGCGGCGAGCTATGGCGAGCTGCGGCGCGCCTCGTCTTATTAAAAGCCATAAGCTGGAGCATTTTTATGTTAATTTCGGCAATATTTTTTTTTTGTTTTTTATTCATCTTTCTTTTCTTTATTGCTAGTTGTTATTTTGTTTTAAGAATATATCTATGCCATCTTTTATACGTGCCATATAAGTGCTTGGCTCGCTGCTTATCGCTTCATTGAAGCGACGAGCGAAGCCTTATGCTCTGCCCGGGGCTAATTGCGTATGCGCCGTACTAATATGCAATTAATTGATGTGTGCCTGCCCACCTGTCCAACTGTTCACCTGTTCACCTGGTCTACAGGTACACACACACACACACACACATTTAAAGCTCGCAAAAAAAAAGAAAGAAAAAACAACGTCAAGCAGGAAACATGAACTTGAACTGGCGCGATCAGCAGCTAATTACAGCAGCAGCAGCAGAACAATGGCAAAATGTTAGACAGATTATGGGAATATGAATATGAATATATATGTATATATACACACATACGCACCTACATACAAGCATCTATTCATATCCACGTATAATGGAGCCGAGCTGGATACAATGGAGTCGCTATATGCATCACGTATGCAAATAATTGATTTTAATTAGCGGTCCTCCATGGTCACTTAGTTCCGGGTTCCAGCGTATTAGTAGCTCATTAAAAGCATGTGCAAGCTACCATGTTTGTTCTAATGCCGATCAGTGTCTGGTTTTACACTACTTGTGATGCCATCGAAATTCATAATAATTAAGGCCATTTCATGGTCACTCACTGGCTCACTCACCTGCTCGATTCGAGCCAGTGTATAGCTGCCTACTAGCTTACTAGGGTCCGCATCATAGGCCGCATCTGTGCCTGATCTATAAATAGTTCTCAAATTGAGTTAAGCCAAATCAAGTGAAATCTTTTGGGTCAATTCAACAATCCGAACCCGAAACCGACACCGATTTCAACTGCCAATGGGCATATCAATCACATACCGAAAATTAAGTGAAATATAGTATAAAGTATACAGCTCACACACACACACGCACACACACACACAGCAGGTCGTCACAGTTGACAGCTAGTCTATCACAAACAAAAAAAAAAAAAACTGTTTGCCGAACCAAAAACAAAATAAATTCAATCCAATCAAATTATATCATTTGTCTACGAAAATCCCAGCAACAGCAACAACAACAACAACGACAACGCCAACAATTATGGCCACAATTTCAATAATGAAAAATCTGCCAGCTAATGTCTCTCGTTTGTGTTGCTAATAATAAACAATATTATTATTGTTATTGTTATTGTTATTGTCATTGTTGTGCTTATAGTAATACACATGCCATGGCGCACTTATTTCGTATAAACTAATATATATATGCCTCATATATATATATATATATATATGTATCGGATTATATGTCTATGCCTCTATATAACAGCTCGTGCTTGGCTTATTATTGCCCATCTCAATGGCTGCTTGTAATATGTTTTCAATTTAAATAATAATCATATATCATATAGCATACAAACATATATATATACATACATATACATATATATATATATATATATTTATATATCTGTATGCTTTGTGCAACACGTGATCTTTTTGCCCGTTTTGGCTTGACTTTGTCTCGCAAATCGCTTTATAATTGCCTAATGGATTCTATTCAACATCTTCTTTTCTCGTTCTTCTCATTACAGCAAACATTTGAGCCGTCTAATTGATTAGCAAGCTCCCCACCTCTGTCTCTCTATTCATCTCTCTGACTCTGACTCTGACTCTGACGGCGAGCCCAACCAAATCTAAGCGCAAGCCACATCGCAGTACTCAGAGTACACAAAGCCAGCCAAGATGACTGGTTTCACCAACGCCGGCTTCGAGAACGATGAGCCCGTCAAGGTGAGTGCTAAGCATGTCGATCCCAAAGGTGTCCAAAGCAAGAACGCCTAGAAGTCCATTAGAAATTGATTTCACTTTCCTCTTGATTGTATCTCAAACCAAATTCGAATCGTAGATAGATAGATCAAAGTTTTGAGAGCACCTCGAATATTAAATGATATACATAGATAAGATTTGGCTTTGACACAGATAGATATATAGAGATATAGATATATGATACATGATACATCATATAGATGCATGAGATATAGATAGAGATGATATAGCTAGAAATTATATAGATAGATACCATATAGATAGAGATGTTGCAGATAGAAATCATATAGATAGATATCATGCAGTTAGATATAATATGAATAGATATCTCACAGATAGATCTGACGTAAGTAGCCGTGATATAGACAGATATGATGGATTGGAAAACAAAAGTAAACGTCTAATAAGACAGATAGTTCGAGCTGTACTAGATATACGTGATCTTAAAGCAATGCTAATCTGTTCTGACAGGCGATATAGATAATGAGGGTGAACGTTAAATATCCGGCTTACAGGCCTTCACAAAAGTCAATGTACGCAATGTAAAAAAAAATATGGAAATAAATCTGAAAACGTGAAGCCTTTCGCATTAGATACAACGAGAAGTAGTTAAGTGATTTGAAGCGAATGCATATTTTGACCTATTGTTTATAACTGCCAGATCGTTAAGATATATATATGTATATCTATATATATATCTATATATATCTATATATATCTATATATATCTATATATATATATATGTCTCATGTAAGTATCAATTGCACAGCGCTAAACAAGTTTGCAACAAAGATTACAATGTAATCCTATTCATATGCATAAACGTATCAAGATATATATAAGTATATGTTTACATATATATATACTTGTTGGAATGTAATAGAAATCAAGTTTCGTGAAAATCAGCTGTAAGACTGGTTCATATATAGAACAGCATTGTATCGACTGTAAGAATAGAAGCTAATCAAAATTCCTAGAGCAGACTGTAATAATGGCTAAGATCATTCACATATATATATATATATATATATATATATATGCAAATTAAATTATCTATTATATTACAATAAATTGATTAGCCTTCGCCATGAAATCATGTTTTATAATTAACTAATTTATGATGTGCCCCAAAAAAAAAAAAAAAAAAAACAAGAGACAGAAAAATAATATTCATAAAAAAGATATATAATAAAGAAGGAAGTATTCAAAAGCAGCTCACCTCTCACATGCTCATGTGCATATATATATATATATATATATATATATATATATACATATATATATATATATATGTGTCTGATCACGGGATGCTGGTGATTATGAATGATGATCTGACGAGCAGGGAGCTTTGCGGGCTCTGCAATGAAGTGGGCACTCCTACCTACAAAAAAGCGTATAAAATAAATTTCACCTCAAGAAGCGAGACCCACGCGAAAACAAGCCAGGCCAAAAAGAAATGTGACAGCAGAAAGCGCTTAAAAGCCAAAGCCAAAGACAAACACGATACGAATGCGAATACGAATACGAATATGCATACTCGATAACTATATATACATATATATATATATATAAATTTGTATATACATTTTGTGGCTTGTCCTAATTGATGCGGAGCTAGATATGTCTGCCGTATAGTGTCGAATCTTATTGCACAATTGGTTTCACAATAATAAATATTGCTCATTTATAATTGTAATCTTGTAAGGCAAGCAGCAGTGGCAGCGGCAGCGGCAACAGCCACCAGCCACCAGCCACCAGCCACCCATTGCCACAGCATCCAATGTGCCCAATAGCCCGCAGCCAGTTCCAAGTGCTCGGGTCGCAGTGAGAACGCTCAATGGTAAACCCGTTTTTTGGTGCCACGTTAAGAAACCAGAGAATCAGGCAGCAAATAACCAAAACTCAATAACAAATACAAATTTATGTAAAGTCAAGTCAAGTCAATGTAAAAAAGAAATATAGCGACAGAGCGACGGAGCGACGAAGCGACGAAGCGACAGAGCGGGCAGGCTGAAAGCCAAAAAGCAAACACGAAACGTGCCGAGTTTAAAAATAAAACAACGCAAATCTCGTGCGCCGCTGTGCGCCGCTCTACACGCTTCTCACTGCCACAAGGCGTGCCGCCGCCGCAGCCGCCGCCGCCGCCGCCAGCGTGGTCAGGCATGTAACTGGTTTCCATAGCTAGCCCGACGCAGAGACTGTTTTGCTGCTTTGCTCTCTTTGTCATATCGTATGGTATTTTATGCATGTTTCGCACTTGCCACACGATTATTGTTATTGCGCTGAACGCTGACCGCTGCTCGCGATTCGGATTTGGATTGAAATTGAATTAATGAATATTATTATCAAGCTGCATACTCGCCTATGCACACACACACACATATATTTATATACATATATTTTAGTTTGTTTGCCTGCCTAGCTGTGTGCATGGCCGTTTTCTAGGCAAATTGGACGCAGCGCCACCTGCCGTCAGCTACAGACGTCAGCTGTTTTGCACGAGCCGCCGCGAGCGAGCGAGCGAGCGCAGACAACAGCGTTTACAGTTAAAGCGAATTAACTGTCGACTACTTTTTATTTATAACACATTCAAGTATCTCGCAAGCCGATTCTATTTTGCAAATTTTCTTGAGCCGATCAAATATTTTCGATACATTCAACTGGCAAATACCCTTTAAAAAGCAGCAGCTAGACGAGGTGCCAATGGCAATTACTTATAGAACTCAAGCGAAGCAAATATATTTATATATATAGTATATATATATATATATATACTAGCAAAATTTTCTCTCGCCCATATATATATATATATATATATTTATATAGATATATACATTTTTAGTAGAGCTTTAGAGCTGGCTGTTCAATGTCCACTTAGCCACTGACACCTGCGGCGTATGAGTAATATTTTGCCAATTGCATTCGTCTGGGCCGCATTGACGTGGCCACGCGTTGTTGTTGTTATTGCTGCTGCTGTCGCTTTTTGGTTTATTTATTTTTATTTTTTTTCTTGTTGTTGTTGTTTATATTTGTGTGTTGGTCGCCAAAAACTTGTTTGTGTTGTACTTTTTTTGTGTTTTTAGTACCTAATTAAATGCAATTTTGTTTCGTTAATGCCAACAAAAGTCACACACACACACAGACTAGACAGCACTAAGATTCATAATAATAATAATAATAATATTAATAGTACCACTAGCAGCCAGAGCAACTCACTTAGTTACAAAAAAAAAAAACGTTTTAGATGATTTTTTTATTTGTTTTTTTTTTCGGTTTTTTTTATATTGATAAGGTCGGGGAATTTTTGCTGCCCAATGATTTGCATACAAACAAAACGAGATACAGCCCACCTTCACTTGTCTACCAAGACCTAAGGCCCCCCTCACACACACACACACACACACACGTGTGTGAACCAAGTGAGCTTTATGCCATAATATTTAAACTACTTACATACGATATTGTTGTAAAGAAACAACTGTAATCAATTCAAGCTTGCATAACGCTACTTGTTGTTGTTGTTGTTGTTGTTGCTGCTGTTAGCCACCTAATTGGCCAGGGGACGTGGACCCAACGCCAACAGCGGCTCCGTTAAATGCCAATTACAGTTTTGTGCCTCCCAAAAGCAAAAAAAAAAGATATATATATCGATATATATATATATAAGACTTTACGTAAATTGCGTTAGCGCTGCAAATCGCCCCCGCGCTGCCCGAGCGCGCTGTAACCTTCTGAGCGGTTGCGGCAGCGCATGCAAAATCACCAAACAGTTTCGATATATTTTTAGATACATAAATATATATATATATATATATATGTGTGTGTGTGTGTGTGTGTGGATGGAGATATTTTGGGGCAGTTCTACGACCGTGCCCAGTTATCTGGCAGGTGCCTTGCGCATTTTTTATGACCATTTAAAGGCCGCGTCGCGCATGCGCAATGCAAAGCGCGCAACAAACGCGCGCAAAACGCGCCCGAAACGCGAGCAAAACGCGCGCGTTCACGCATTTCATTTTAGAAACTAAAAGCGTAAACGCGCCAGCACATAAATAATGAATGAACCAACTGGCATAAGCTGCAGCTCAAATACCCTGCACAGCCACACGCACACGCATGCATACCCTATAAATATATATGGATGCGCTGCAGGGGGTTCCACGTGGCGCGTAAACAATGCGACAATTTGTCTAGAAATTAATCAAATTCCGCGAAAGCCATTAGCCATGATAAATGATTCAAGCGAGATGATGTTCCAGGAATGAGCTAGAAGAAGACCTGACAGCAGATGAGTTTATATAAAGCCGCAAAAGTAATTGTTAAATTGATAAGCAACAAATGATTAGCATAATAATTAGCCAGTTAGTTAGTTAGTCAGCTAGTATATATATTATCTAATTCAGTGAAATGTAGAATAGGAATTCCTTTCCGACTTGGCCACTCGCACCACCCGCACCACCCACCCGCCAGCCAGTTCACTTTTATTAATCTTTTCTCTGTTTTTTTTTTTTTTATTTTGTTTTTCATTTTTATTTTTAGCCAAAAGCTGGTTTCGAGCCAGACACCGCCTCGCTGCGAGAGAAAGTTGTGCTGAATCCGGCCGAGAAATGGCGCATTTTAAAGAATATCTCAATCATCTCGATCGCCTTCATGGTGCAGTTCACTGCGTTTCAGGTGAGAGAGCGTCGGCGTCGGCGTCGGCGTCCGGCATTGGGCATAGACTAATTGGCGTTTCGCTTGTATTTAGGGCACGGCCAATCTGCAATCCTCGATCAACTCCAAGGATGGACTTGGCACAGTGTCGCTCAGTGCCATCTATGCGGCGCTGGTTGTCTCTTGCATCTTCCTGCCCACGCTGATCATTCGGAAGCTGACGGTTAAATGGACGCTCGTTTGCAGCATGCTCTGCTATGCGCCGTACATTGCCTTCCAGCTGTTCCCGCGCTTCTACACCCTCGTGCCGGCTGGCATTCTGGTGGGTATGGGGGCGGCGCCGATGTGGGCGTCCAAGGCCACATATCTGACACAGGTTGGGCAGGTGTATGCTAAGATAACTGAACAAGCTGTCGATGCCATTATTGTGCGCTTCTTTGGCTTCTTCTTCCTCGCCTGGCAATCCGCCGAGCTCTGGGGCAATCTCATCTCCAGCTTGGGTAAGTTCACGGCAAGCGCATGAGACGCACGATCCCCTAACGATCCCCACCCTCTCTGCCTCTCTCTCTCCCCGCATTGCAGTTCTGTCGAGCGGCGCACATGGTGGCGGCAGCAGTGCCAATTCCACAATCAGTGAGGAGGATTTGCAGTATTGCGGTGCCAACTTCTGCACCACCGGCAACGGCGGCCATGGTAACCTGGAGCGGCCGCCAGAGAACGAGATCTTCGAGATCTCCATGATCTACCTGTCGTGCATTGTGGCCGCCGTTTGCATCATCGCCTTCTTCCTGGACCCCCTCAAGCGCTACGGTGAGAAGCGCAAGGGCTCCAACTCGGCCGCGGAGCTGTCCGGCCTCCAGCTGTTGTCGGCCACGTTCCGCCAGATGAAGAAACCAAATCTTCAACTGCTCATACCGATCACCATCTTCATTGGCATGGAGCAGGCCTTCATTGGCGCCGACTTCACCCAGGCCTATGTCGCCTGCGCTTTGGGCGTGCATCAGATTGGCTTCGTCATGATCTGCTTTGGCGTCGTCAACGCTCTCTGCTCCATACTCTTTGGCTCCGTGATGAAGTATATCGGTCGCCTGCCCATCATTGTGCTGGGCGCCGTCGTTCACTTCACGCTCATCTCCGTCGAGCTCTTCTGGCGGCCCAATCCCGAGAATCCGCTCATCTTCTACGCCATGTCCGGCCTGTGGGGTGTCGGCGATGCCGTCTGGCAGACGCAGATCAACGGTCTCTACGGCCTGCTCTTCAGGCGAAACAAGGAGGCTGCCTTCTCGAACTATCGCCTCTGGGAGTCGGCCGGCTTCGTCATCGCCTATGCCTATGCCACAACGCTCTGCACCCGCATGAAGCTCTACATTCTGCTGGCTGTCCTGACGCTCGGCTGCATTGGCTATGTCATTGTGGAGATTCTGTACAGAAAGAAGGTGGGTTGAGGTCCAGCGCGACTCTGTGACCTGTTGCACCACATAGACACTTATTTTAATGGAACTTCTTTTGTATTCTGCAGCAACGCAAGATCAAGAAGCAGGAGAAGATCGAGGCGGCCGAGAAGGAGAAGGAGGCTGCGGCTGCTGCGGCAGCTGCTGCAGCTGCCGCCGAGGCAAATGTTGGCTTCGGCGACGCCGTCGAGGAGACCGATGATGAGCTGGACGATCTCGAGGAAGACATTGTAGTCACGCGCCTGTAATAATCGTCATTTGTTAATTGTTGTACGTTCTTTTTGTTTATTTTCGCCGACGACGACGTCGTTGCGGCTGCAACAGCTCCAACTGTTAACGCTTAACAGTGCGCAATTCTGTTAATCAAACACGAGTGCAAAAATGTTAAACATAGATTCAAATACACAGACACCGACCAACACCAACACCAACACCGGCACACACAAACACACACACATACACAAACACTGTTGCATAACTGCAGGCGCACACATTTCGTCGGCCCATCGACGACGCGTCCGAGCACTTTGTCGTTGAAGTTGTCGTAGTACTTAGTACATTCCCCTTCCCAATCCATTCAATACAAAAGGCCAACAAACTGGCAGAAGCGCACACACACACACACCAGTGCCTCTATATAAATACATAAATGTTTGTGTGTGCGTGGGCGTGTGCGTGTGCGTGTCTCCTGCACAAGTTTAGTTTGTACATATTCAAAAAATGAGAGCCGCCTGCAAGCTTATAGCAATTGACGACAGAGGGCGTCTTTAACATTACATAGTGTGAATATCAGGCAACGGTGTGTTAGTTTAATGTAAGAAAGAGAGAGAGAGAGAGAGAAAGAGTCCGCACAAACACACACACACGCACACACATGCACAAGCACCACGCACACTGACAACATGCTGCAACAGTATGTGTGTCAATATGCCTATTAAATTGTTATTTTATTTTAAATACTAGCATTAAATCAATATATATATACAAATTTTTTTAAATATTTTTTTTGCTTATATACAAAACTACAAGAAAACAATCAAACAAACAACAAAACGTGATAATCAGCCACACTCACAACGCACACAAGCACACGCACACGCACAAACACAGACACACACATAGACACGAGTGCACACAGTCACAAAATAGTCAAATTTCTAAACTAAACTAAAAACTGGCCGCGAAAACTAATGTTAAACATAATTATTACTTATAAGCAGTCGAAAAAGAAAAAAAACAACAAAACATATGAAATATATATATATATATTTAATTATAAATATATATATATTTATAAATATATATATATATTATGAGTATGGAAAGCAAGCGATTAAAACAAATTTGATAAATGCATAAGCAAAAAATATAGCATGCAAAATGATAAATACATTTTTTGCTCAGTATTATGTTTTAAACTATATTTAAGCGAGTTATTGTTCCCTGTTTTTTTTTTATTTAACACATTTTTCTTTTCAAAAAAAAAAAAAAAAAACAAAAATGAAAGACAAAAGAGAAACAAAAAAAAAAACAAAATTATATACACATATATGTCTAAAAACATATATAAACATATATATATATATAAAATTGAGGAGAAAAAAAATCATTTCGTGTTGGCAAAACATTATGAAAAAAAAAACAAAAACAAAAGCAAAAAATTTTTAAACAAACTCCCTTCGATCGCAATTATTATTATTTTAATAATGTTGCATAAACACAATATAAAAACTTTTTTTTTTCGTTTTATTTAAAAGTTTTACGCAAATATAATCAATGTAAAAACAAAAATACACAAAAAAAAAAACAAACAAAAACAAAACAAAAAACAAAAAAATTATAAATAATGCATACAATTTCTTTTTTTTTTTTTGCCTAGTTAAATAAGTAGTTCATTATATTATGTAAAATATAAAAATAAATAAATGAATATAAATATTTTAAATGCGCTGCGTTATTATTTTAATTTTTATAATTTTAATTTTCCAGATTTCAGATGACAAAATTTGTTCACAGTTAAAATCGATTATTATCGATAAAACAAGTAAATGAGCTGACAATAAAATATATATATATATATCTCATGTCAAGCTTCTAGATCTTGACGATGAACGTGTGTATAAGGAGTCAAGTCGACATACTGCTCAAGTTTATATATATATATATATATATATAGGGTTAGACACGCCTCATTACAAATTTTCAATGGGTATTATCAATCTAGTCTCTTAGTTCAACTTGTTTACACAGAGATATGTCGACTACACTCCATTAGAAGTAGACCTAGACAAGCTATAAAAAGTACTTGGATTGTGGTGACAAAAAGCTGCTGCTGACTTAGAATAATACATATATATATAGAGGAGGGGGTAGGGTTAGTTGTGGAAGCCAAGAAACGTTTCTAATTACAACCAGCAATTGCCTTCGCCTCGACGTCGACACGTCACGTTGCAATTAGTCAGGCCGAAAGATATCGCTGCACGAGTTGCCTCCGCTGCATGCGCTCGTCTAGATCTAAGGTTTAGATTATGCTATGCATTAATATTAAAAATAAATACTTTATTGTTATTGAAGGATTGAAAGAAAAAAAATGCCTTAAATTTGAACAGACTTCAACTGAGATTGGGCAGCTCGGCGATTAGAGTTTAATCGCAGCGTCTTCGTTGTATTTGTTGTTCTTGCGACGGCGGCTCGATTTGATTTTGCTGAGCACGTTGTACGCCTGCTGGATTTCAATGAAGCGCTGATGCGCAGCTTCACGCAGTGCCTCGTCCTTGACCTTGTCGGGATGGTTCTCCTTCGATAGCTTGCGGTAAGCAGCCGTGATATCGGCCTGCGAGGCAGTGGCACCCACGCCCAGCACCTTGTAGGCATTGCGTTCCCCATCCACGTCCATGCTCTCGAAGACCTCGCGCCACGTCTCGTACCAGCCGTGATGCTGCCCATATATGTACGTGTCGTGGAGGGCCTGCTTCAGGTCGGTCCACCAGGCGGAGGCTAGGAAGTTCTGCAACGCCTCGTATATGGGCATTTCGCCGCCGTCCTCGTCGGTAATGGAGCCATTGAAGACCACCACAGAGCCCCACACTGCAAAATAAATGCAAATGGCAGCGCCCAACTTGACTGTGCGTTCGGTGGCACCGCGCCTGCGCGGTGGTGTACGGCGCCATTCTTTGGAGAAGCCGTCGAAAATCAGTGCAGACACAAGCGCCGACAAGAGCAGTGAATAGGTCTCATCATAGATGTAGAAGCGTGCCAGATAGGCCACCAAAGAGCCAACGTAGCACGGCCACCAAATGCCGCACTCTCGTCCAATGTTGCCAACGGTCCACACGCCCAGCGACACGAAAATCGGTATGAACCAGTGCATCCAACTAAAGTCTATGCCGGCGGTGAGAGTTTGCGGCACGGCTGAGCTGAACAGCTGGCCAAACAGATATCCGAACATCACTTGACCCATAAAGCGCTTGGATGAGTACGGCGGACGCGGATACGCGTGCAGCTTGGCAATAAACACTTTCAGAAACTGCGGATCCTCGTTGGCGTCACGCACGTATTCGGGTATGAGAAATATTTCGCTGAACCAGCCAATGCCCATGTAACCGCCCAGCGAGCACCACCAGAGGAAGGCATGACGATCGCGATGCAAATACAAATGATGCAGTCCAAAGATGCCGCCGACTAGCCACAGTATATAAGCGACCACAACGGATTTCTTCTCAGGCAAAGCGTTCTGCTCCGAATATTTCTTGCTGTGCCCATGCGCCTTCACCTTAGTTGGGGCTGCTGTGGAGCCCGAGTCGACGATCGACTCATAGCCAGAGGCCGCAGCTGAGCCACAAATATTGCTAGTGCCATTGCTGCTGGTGCTGCTGCTGCAGTTGTTGTTGTTGTTGTGCTGCAGGGTTCGCTTTTGTCCCATTTTCTGTAAGATGCTAACTGTGATTAAATTGAGTAAGTTTATTAAATCTTGTGAAATCAATGCAAAGCACAAAACTTACTAACTTGAACTTTTTATTTACTGATTTTTTCGTTCGTTTTGTTAGCCAATGCGCAAGTTCTCCCTGCTGTCACAGAGTAAGCAGTCAACAAATCGAGTCGAGTCGACAGCCAATTGAAACTTTCTCTTTTCACAAATTCTGTGCACGCAGCTGCAACAAAAAAAAGCCACCAACAACAACGAGAAAAAGAACAAGAGTGAGCAGCGACAGGTATCAAAAACAGTTATAGCCGCACTGATGCGTTCAAATCGTATTAGTTCTTAACGCTTCGTTTTTACTTACTTGGTTAATAAGGAAAACTGCGAACTGTTGGTTTAACTCAATGTTTTATCGCTTGCTGCTGTGTGCTCGTTTCGTGTTTGGTATGTGCCACTTTTCTCTGCCCAGAGCTTAGCTTGTTGCGTTCTTTTCGGTAATTTCTTTTAAGCCAGATCACGGTTTCGATTTCAAGTTTGCGGCGATCTGGCAACCTTGCGACAAGCAGTGTTGTTAAGCAACAAAATGTTTTGAGTGAACAACACACACAAGAGGTTACTTTCAAATTTTATAAACACAATTCGTTATAAACAATTTTGAATAATGCAACACACAAGATATATTATTAATTAATATGGAAACACACTTATAATAATTGAATTGCTTTTTTTTTTGTCAAAATATTTAACCTCTGATTGTTGTTTCTGTAAGTTCTGCAGAAGATATTCAATTTATAGCTACAAATTGTTCGATTTCGGATTTATATAACTCACCTCCAATATTAGTGAGCGTATTCAAAATCAAAGTGACTTCTTCTGGAAAGTAGTAAAACTAACTGAAAGCATTTGACAATTCGATAATTGTACGAAACATTCGATTTCTGACATTCGAAAAATCAGAATTGAATTTAATGTCAAAATCATTGGCCACCTCACGATCATTTGGCCACATTCATGATTTATTTTTTTTTAAATGACTAAAGAAACGATATTCGAAAATTTTTGCTGTTTATTCACTCACTATTTTGAATGCTTACACGTATAAAAAAAAGTAATTAGGTTTAGTTTGACACGATAATCGCTTAAATTTTAGACTGTCTACACATAGAATTAGAACTTATAGATAATATGCAAAACTCTGCACAGTTGACAGAATCTGAGAATACAGTTTCCTTTTGTTTGGTTTTTTTTTTAGCAGCTTACAAGCAAATGGTTATGAGAAAATGTAATACTTTCAATGTGCGGCTCTTAAGCGTCGCTAGGTTAATAAATAAGTACATACATATGTAAAAACCACAAAAAAAAAAAAATAAAAAACATTGAAAATGTTAAATTATTAAAAATTCCAATTGATGGAACACATAAAATGTAAATGATGGGAGCATTGGCAATTAGTTATTTTTCTTTTTGGGCTTCTTGGGATTACGTGAACGCGACTTGGCCTTACAGAGCGGACAAATGGGCGCGTTGCGATGAATCTGCTGATGGCAGGACAAGCAGGACTTCATTGGGGGCGGCTGTTGCCTCAGGTTCACGTTGAAGTCGGAGCGAAAAGATGGATGGTGTCCAATCCCAATGGATGGTGACTGCTGCAGCCGATTTGTGGTCGGCGGCGGCGGTGGCGGTGCCGAAAAGTCGCTCTTGCCCAGACGAGCTGCAGCCACGGCTGCAGCTGCGGCAGCGCCAGCGCTGCCTGGTGCTCCTGGCGGTGCAGGTGGCATAAACGCATGCCCCGGCCCACCACCACCACCACTAGGCACAGTTGAGCCACCGCCCCCACCGCCGCTGGCAGAATTCGGCGGTAATGCTGTCACGGTGGCCTCGGCCATTAGCGGATGCCGTGCATGGGGTCTCGCTAGGGATGTGGGCTGTGTGACGGCGGCCGCTGCGGCTGCAGCTGCTGCCACGGCCGCCGATTGTGCGGCGACTTTAAGAAAATTTGTCTGAAAGCGATCCTTTGATATGGGGCTGCCTTCTTCTTCGTGTAGGTCACGGAGTGGACTGAGGCCCAAATAGTCGCGCCGCATGTGGTCGATTTGATATTTGAGAGCGAGGTATTCTTCGTACACGCGATTGGCCATATCAAAGGAACGCGTTTGATTCTCCTTCGTCTGCTTAATGATGTTCTCCATGTCGTTGATATCTGCGTGTATCTGGCGGAGCTCCTCCACGTGCGACATCTTCTCCTCCAAAAGATGCTCCATTTCCTTGCGATATTCGTCCAGACATTTCTCCTCGTCGTCGCTTAACTTCACCTCCTTAATAATGCGCACCTTTAGTTTCTCCAGGGCCAAGGTCTTGTCCCGTATATCCTTGATTGCCTCCAGCTTGGCGTAGTAGTGCCGCTCATTGGAGCTAGAAATCTCGCTGGTGGCCATTTTGAATGGCTGCTGTGGTATTTATATTTGATGCTTTGAATACAATTTGTAATTTCGATTGATCTGCGGCACTTTTCATATACTGTGTACGCCTATTAATGTTTATTCAACAGTGCAACGTAAAGATGCAATTTTTAATTGAACTTTTATTATTTTTGTATGCGTTTTTCACTTTTGCTTTGTGTATTTCGCACAGGGATGGGTACTTTAAGCGAGGGTTTTGTTTTTAATGATATCGATATATCGATTATTGCAAAGAGAAAAACAGAATACTAAACGATTCATCGTTAACCTACCGTTGCTAAAGAACATTCTGATAAGTGGGGGTTTTTGTTTAAACTTCCTTTAATTAAGAATTATGTTTCCGGCCTAGTGTAAATATTTCATTAAAAGTAGGACATAGGACACTTATTATATATTGCGCACAATGCGCATGTGTTCTTGGGTCCATAAAATTTACAGAACACAGACACTCTAAATGCACATACCAACAACAACCTACAGCAGTTAGAGTTGATTATTAACCCAGCTGCTATATTTTATTTTATGATCCTTAAAATTGTAAAGCTTTCGGAGTTGCTCTTTATGCGGAGTCAAAAATTTCCAAAATCTTGGACAACATTATCTTTTGATTTGGAAAAGAAAAGAATTTTTAACAAATTTGGGAATGCTCAACATTTTATGTATATTATGTATATTGAGAATAGCTAAAGCCGTAACTTGAAACTAAACTAAACATATTTTTTGAACAAATAAAAACAAATAAACAAATAAATAAATAGGACTTATTGCACCAAAAAATACTATAGTCCAAATACTTTTGACCGACTACACAAAATGTGTATTATTTTATATATTTACTTTTATTTTCTTCGGAACCTATAAAGTAAACTTATATTTACTTTTTGTTTGCTGGTTATAAATAGAAAATAAATATAAGAAAAACTGAAGCTTACATATTCGGTTATATTTCTTTTTTATTATTATTCAAATTTAAAAATCGTCGAAAACCGCGAATTAAAATACCAAAAACTATTATCGATAGTAGACCATAAGTTTAAGGCAGCCCTAGTTGCTGTTTGACTTTACTAACGATAATATAAGTTAAAGAGTTGCAGCCCTAGCTGTGCCGGCTAAATTTTGTTTGCTTATTGGTTTATGGAAACTAGTGCCTGGAAAAATGGGTCTTCTTTCGGATCCGTCATTATCGACACATAACAAGCTGGTGGACAATCTGGCAAAGCATATGCGCAAGCTCTGCTATGCTTTCTACACAGCGGGCGTGGTCTGGTTTATGTGCCTCGCCCTGCCGGAATTCAATCATGGAACTTACTTATCAGAGAATGCCCTATCTCCAGGTGCGTGTATACCTGGTTGTTTTTGTTGGTATTTTCTACTTATGATCAACTGCCATGATAATTATAATTGTAGGTTTGGTGTATCCCGAGATACGCATAGATGCCAATCGATTGGCCGTCCAGATGCTAGAGGAGTTACAACGCGAACGTAAGGACCATCAGGCCACAACGCCGCATGCCTGGATTCTGGCCAAGCTAAATGAGTTTGGCTTGGAGACACATACCCACAACTATACGCTACGCTATCCGTTCGGCGGCGGCAAGGAATTCCATGGCAAGAATATCTACGGAATTTTGCGTGCGCCGCGCATCGGTTCCACAGAAGGTATAGTTTTCTCGGCGCCATATCGTCCACCGAACTCGGTGCATGTTGACATAACGCCTAGCGTGCCAGTATTATTAGCATTTGCGGAGTTTGCAAGGCGTAAGTAGGAACAAGCACAATTGCCACAGATAGAGCTTAGACTTAGAAAACTTTTCGTTCGGCAGGAAAAAATTATTGGGCCAAGGATTTGATATTCCTGGTCACCGAGCAGGAGCAGCTCGGAATGCAGGCCTGGCTAGAGGCCTACCATGACGGTGATAAAGAAGGAGACAATAGCAATTCGTACCTGTTGGCTGGGAATCTGCCTGCTCGCGCTGGCTCGCTGCAAGCAGCTTTAAACATCGAAGTGCAAGACTTGGAGATTGGTTAGTTTATTAAAGAAGTAGCATAGTAATCAAAACATTCAATGATCCACATCTTTGCAGACTATATTGATGTCAAAATCGAGGGCTTGAATGGCAAACTGCCTAATCTGGATATGTTTAATTTGGTGCAGCGCATCATGGCTCGCGAGGGCGTTACCTCGGGGTATAAGCAGACGCCTCGTAAGAAGCGTCGCTCCAACTTCTCCACTTATGAGCAGAACTTACGCCAAATGCTGGCCATGCTGTCGACGCAATCATCAGGCGTGCCCAATGGTAATCATGGACTGTTCCATCGCTATCGCATCGATGCACTGACCATATCCGCTGCCAAGCGTGTTACCAACTCCAATGTCAAGTCCAATCCGAGTTCAGCTGCCGTGCCGCTCTTAAAGGCAATCGAGGGCATTGCTCGCAGCCTGAACAATTTGCTGGAACGCTTTCATCAAAGTTTCTTCTTCTATGTGATTGTGCACAACGATCGTTATATATCCATTGGCGATTATATGCCCGCTCTAGTGGCGCTTATCGCCTGTAGCTTTCTCAAGGCGTATCTTACTTGGTCCACATTGGATGTCATAGAACGTCGTCCACAGCAGGACGGAGACGTAGCTGAAGGGTATCTTGGACCAGCTATGCAGTCGATGAAGCTGAGCTTGCCTTATGGCGTGGTATTACTCTATTTGGCTCTGGCGCTGTTCATCGGCTATGTGGGCAATGTGCTGCCGCTGCAGAAATACTTTATGGAACTGCCATTGGGCGCTGGACCGCTAACTGGCTCCATACTGGTTGCACTTAATCTGATTGGGCTTGTGCTGCCGTTCGTTGTGGTGCTGCCGGCCGGCGGACTAGAGCTGCTGCACATCAGCCTGCTGCTCATCTATGGCTGTGCTCTGATTGTCATTGGACTGCTCAACTTCTCGCTGGGCTTCTTTGTAGCGGTGCTATCGGTGCCCATGGTCGTTGCTCTGAACACAGGCAAAATGAACCGCACATTGCGCGGCTTGACGCGTCTGTGGACATTGCTTTTGAACCCGCTGGTGGTCATCTATACCATCATCCTGATCATGAGCTTCTATCAATTTCCCGAGCTGACATTCCAACAGCTGCTGCTGCGTGCCGCCTCCGCTGCCATGGATGCGGTTACCTTTGCGCTTATCGATTCAGTGGTGAGTCCGACTAGCTCAGCAGTTTCTTTAATGATCGACTCATATTTTTGTATTAATCTCTTACAGATTTATGGCAATTGGCTTTACTTTGCCATTTGCACTGTATTCTTGCCCCTTTGGATCATTTGTTGGACTCTGGCGCTGGCAAAGCGTAGCGACAATAAGATTTCACAAACTAAACTGAAAGCAAATTGATCCGCCTTTTTTTATTTCAAAATCCATGTTCGATCTATGGTAACCTCTAATAAATAAATTATGTATGTTCAACCGCATGCATAAATAGTTAATGAGCTGTTTGCCTGAAGCGATATGTAATACTTTAGGAATCTATATACTGAACACACGTTCAGCGGTCCTTGCCTGAAGGATTGCTTTATATAAACAATAGCTAAGGATGCGCTGTTTTTCCCGCTCAGTTCAGGGTCACATATTTCTACAAAAAACTAAACTTGTGATGTATATACTTGTTCACAAAGATAAAGAAGTATATAGGTTTTTTTGCAAAATATGTCTTGCTGTCCATTCGTCTATCTGTACAATCGCCGAGCCCTTCATCGCTTTTAATTATAATCAAATTTATGTAAGCCCATATTTTATTATATTCATCTGCTAATGGAACAGGTATTGAGCGGTCGGTTGTGCCCGCCTGCAATGTTCTTACGCTAAACTCAATCCAATTGAAATTCTTTATCAAATAATCCCATAAAAACTTTGAAGCAAAATCAAGGATTTCGGCTCTGCCGTGACTTGACTAATGATACGTAACGTTAGGTTATGCTGTGCTACGTTCCGTTACGTATGCCGATTTCGTGTTTTTCATTTTTCAAATTTATATATTTGTTTACGATTCAATTTGAGAAGGAAAATGCCAATTAAAAGTTGGGATATGATGTAGCGCATCAACAATAAACAAAACATAAAAACGTTTCGAGTTTTTAAAAACTCCTTGATTTGGCTTAGTGGAAACCCGCCGCAACTTTATGGTGTACCCTTTTTATGATTTTTTATACCCTGAACCCATTGAGCATTCACTGGAATTCAGGGTATATTGTTTCTGCACAAATGTGCGTAGGAAGAAGGCAGAAGGAGGCGTGGCAGATGCCAGTCGATGGACGCGGCGATCTTATAATTATGTTGAGAGCTCTTACAATTTCCTTACTATCGATAATAATCGATCTTTTGATTAGGGTCTTAGAGCGTAGCTTGATTACTTCAAAAGCTGCAGATTTCAAATTCACTGTAATGAATAAAATAATAATCAATTTTTCGGATTTTGATACTCGTTCGCATACTGGAAAGCTGTGGATGTCATTATTTTGATCTGCAAATGTCTTTGAAGAAGCGCCTCATTCTATAGCAAATTGAGCTTAGTTAAGTCCATAATGCAGCCCATGTCGCGTTCAGGATATCTCTTAGTCGGGCATTCCCTACTAGAGCAGTCGTACTTGTTTTTTTAGCATACATAATATAAAAAGTTGGGAATCATTAGTTTATTTGAATGTGTTCACGGTACGGCACACACAGACACATATATGTGTGTGTGTGTGTGTGTAATTGTGGGTGTAAAGGACATATATATTTAATATATAAAAAATATATATATAATTTGACAAAGTTGATTTATTGTGGCACACAGCGATATCACGTATTCAGTTTGAAGAGCATCAATGTCGAGAGTGGCAGGAGGGCAAGGGGATTGTGTGTTGAGGGCGAGGGGGCGTTAGCGGAAAGTGGGCAAACTTTTTGACTATGACACGCAACTCAATTTAAAAGTTTCGAGATGCTGGCAATGCGGCGGCGAGGCGATGTGATGGAGGCAGTAATTAGTTATGAGCCGGAGCAAGCGACGTAAAGCAGTGAGCAGTGAGCAGTGGGCAGTGGGAGTTGGCGTGGGCAAGTGGAGTCTACGAGTTGGAGCACAGTCCTCAGCTCAAACTGTTGCCAGCTGATGATGACGTTGAAAGGAGCAGGCTGCAGGAGAGCTGTGCTGCACTTCCCATTCAGTTGATGAGCTTAACAAGAAAAGTTTGTCACTGGCATCTGTATCAGTCAACAGCTGGGATTGGGATTGGGATTGGGATTGGGATTGGGCTTGGGAATGGGAATGGGGTTGGGATTGGGATTAGGATCTGGTTGTGTTTACGGTGCAACGAGAATTTATTGATTGTTAGCGACAATCCGAATATCGTAAATCTATGATTAGTGATGAACCATTTTAATTGGGTATCTACCCTAGTCGCGCTTGGCCAGCAACGAGGATCCGTCGCAGTCCCCTAACGTTGGCTCTCGCGGCTCAATTGGTTCGATCAGTGGCTCCTTGCCCACCACTCCTGGCATTTCCATGGCCTCGGTGATAGCTTCAAATACAGTGATTTTGTTGCTGTCACTGAAGTTGTTGTCACAGAAGTTGTTATCATTGAAGTTGATCTCATCGGAATTGTTGTCATTTGAGTGGTTCGACTGAGTGTCGGAGTTGGGGTCAGAGTGGGAATCGGTCTGTTCGTTGATAAGTTCGTTGCATAGACGCTGCTTGGTGCGCTCGAGAGCGGTGTCGCACCGTTGCATAGCATCGCGCAGGTCATTGCGTCCCAGGTCAGCGCTGAGAGCGCCGAACAGGGAGTCCAGCGAGCGTGTTGTCGTCTCCAATTCGATTTGCTGGACCAGCGAGAGATCGCGTTGATGCTGTGAACAGCAGATCATGTCCCGATTGAGATTGGTGGCATCAGTGAGCATTTGATCAAGCAGCTGATCGGTCTGATTATACTCATCTCTCAGTTCAGCGATCACGCCTAGCTCACGCGGCGACGGTGGCGGCGGCGGCGACGGCTCCGCATCGATTTTACGTTGCTTTCTTACTGTGGCGGCCAATGCTCGCTGTGTCCCGGCTACGGCACCAGTTGGGCTGTTCTTCGTTGACTTCTTTACATTGCCGCCGATAGCAGCCGGAACACTCAGCTCAGCACCAATCTCCTTCAAGTGTGCCCGCTGCTCCTCATCGTCAATGTTCAGCTGAAGGCTGGAGACACTATTCAGCTGTAAGCGCTTGGCTCGCTCCACAAGGCTGGCGAGTGCCTGCTCGGCAACCATTTTCACCTGACGTTGGGAATCGCTCATTGTTGAAATGCGAATGCGTGTCCTTACCTTTGGTTTATTTAATATGTAGCTACAGAAGAAAATCGGACTGTGTATATTTGCTGGTCGTGAAGAGATTCAAATTTTGAGCAATGTTTTATATTTACATCTGACGCTCAGCTTAGCTTAGCTTAGCTATTTTTATTTATTCCCTTAGATGTTGGTAGACTGTTTAGTTGAGCAATCTATTACCGAGCGACAAAATTCTCACAAGGCAACTCATCACTGACAGCAAACGCAATGCATTTTATTTCTCAGTTATTTTTAGTCGTTATGTTTTACATGCATAGACTGATTGATGAGTAAGTGTTGACTGATGATTGACTACCTTGTTGATTGATAGATTAACTGGTTGGTCATCAACAAGTTACGATTTCTGAGCTGATGGACTGGTTGATAGATTGACTGACTGATTGACTTGCTGATTGACGGCCGGATTTATGGACTGATTGCCTAGCTGATTAATTGGCTGATTGACTAGCTGGTTGATGGGCTGGTAGACTGGCTGATTGATGGACTGATTGACATGCTGAATGACTGGCTGATTGATTGACTGATTGACTTGCTGATTGACGGCCGGATTGATGGACTGATTAATGGATTGTTTGATGTACTGATTGACATGCTGAATGACTGGCTGATTGATGGACTGATTGATGGACTGATTGATGGACTGATTGATGAACTGATTGACTGGCTGATTGATGGACTGATTGACATGCTGAATGACTGTCTGATTGATTGACTGATTGACTTGCTGATTGACTTGCTGATAGACGGCCGGATTGATGGACTGATTGATGGATTGTTTGATGTACTGTTTGACTGACTGATAAACATGCTGAATGACTGGCTGATTGATGGACTGATTGATGGACTGTTTGATAGACTGATTGACTAGCTGATTGATGGACTGATTGATGGACTGATTGATGGACTGATTGATGGACTGATTGACATGCTGATTGACTGACTGATTGATTTGCTGAATGACTGGCTGATTGATTGACTAACTGATTGACTTACTGATTGACGGTCTGATTGATGGACTGATTGTCTAACTGATTAATTGGCTGATTGACTAGCTGATTGATTGACTGAGTGACTGGCTAATTGCCTTGCTGATTGACTTGCTAATAGATTGACTGACTGATTGATTTGCTGAATGACTGGCTGATTGATTGATTAAGTGATTGACTTGTTGATTGAGGGTCTAATTGATGGACTGATTGCCTAGTTGATTGATTGGCTGATTGATTATCTGATTGACAAGCTGATTGATGACTGATAGACTGCCTGATTGACTTAGTTATTATGTAATTGCTTATATAACTGATTAAACAATGTACACAGGAATTCATTTGACTGATTGACTGATTGACCACTCAACTAATATATAAAGTGTTATCTGACTAAGAGATTCATTTATTGATCAATCGACTGACTGATTGCTTAAATGATTCTCGCTTTATAGTGCTCATAGTTTTGATAACTTACTAATAATACTGTGCCCACTGTGCGACTCTCATTGTTCTTGTCGCAGCTACATATTGCCTTACCAGGCGCTCATCTTATATAAGCCAATGCCAACATCTTGTTTCCCTTGAGTTGATTTCCCTGTATGCTTGCGCACACATGCATAACAAAACAAGTAAGAGGGCTCAAGTCGGGAGAGTCCGCCTAGGAGATACCCTCAATCCTGTACACAGTTTCAATTTCAATGCGTAACGAAGGCCTAATAATGACACACATATGTGAGCGTTTGTTGAAGCAGAAGAGTCTTTTATCTGAAATACCCTTTTCTTCAAATTTGTTGGACATATTCAAGCTCTGTGCACAGGAACTGTGAAAGTAACATTTAAGGTCTGCAGCTTTTTGCATTCATATTGAGCTGAACAACAAAGTTGAATTATCGATAATAATCGATAGTAATCGATAATGGCATTTCATGGACGCACAGACAGAGACGGACTCCTCTTCCTGCTCAACACTGTATAGAGCCAATGGTATCTGTCACGCCTCCTTCTGGCCGTTGCATACTTTCCACACAAACAATATACCCTAAACTGACATTTTCAGTGAGTGCAGGGTATATGTGTGTGTGTGTGTGTCTATATGTGCAGCGGGGTAAGTAATGCCTGCACATATATTGTGTGCTGCTAGTTCTTATGGCGTTCATATGGCTTTACCTCAAATTTAAATGAATGGCGCAATGAAATGGAAGCTTACCCAGTTGATCGACTGCAAAGCACTCTGCACTTTGGTACTGATAGACTCTAAATAAACGTTTCTGTGAGCTCTTTAAATGTTGTCAACATACAATTTGCTTGCTCTTTTACTGAGTATTCAAAATCGATATTTATCAATATCACTAAGCTTCAACAACTGGGTTCAAGACGATGCCACCTTCTCCAGCTAATCGAACCCACAGCTTGGCTGGCCATAGGGTATACAGTTTGGGGTTAAATGCAAACGAAACCCAATAAACTAGAAAAGTAATAGGCATTAAGGATAGCAAACTATTTATGTAGCTGGCTGCCTATTTGATTCTCTGACTTGGCGAAGTACTTAAATTTGGCGCATGTTCAATTCCTTTGTCCTTTAGCTACGCAGTTGTTTAGCACATTAAGCCACTGAAATAACTAGCAGATACACAAACACACACATATATGGTGTGGGAAATGGGCCACGGCTGCTGACTGGGAATGATGGCATCTTTATATCCTTGCGTTGGAGTTGTCAGCTGTTTTTATGGCAAAGTTATGACGTGCCTCATTCAGAGGCTTACACTCGGGCAGCAAGGGAGAACGCGCACACAAAGCATTAGGCTAACGAACTCCGAATGCCCTAACAAACAAATATCATATACGTGCCTCAGGCCTAGACCCTGCTTGTGGTACGAAGACACGAGATATAGGAGAAGTCTGAGTTCATCTCAAATTATCTCTTGATATTACTCAATATAAATGGGGAATGAATGATATAAGTGTTGTTCAATATTTTATTATGCTGATTAAAATAATAAAAAAATTAAAAAAAATTAAAAAAATAAGGATTCATATTAATAAAGAGATATATAGTGCTGATAATAGTAATGATAATATTCCATTTTCCATCCCGAATAATAATAAATAACCCATAATACTAATGTACATATTAACAACATAAATAATAATCCCAACTCAAATGTTTGCCCGCACATAATTCATCACTTAGGGAAAATATCTTTTCGAAGAGTGCGAGAAAAAAACGCTGAAATGAAAATACGACAACGTTGTCAAGGTGAAGCTGACAGCGAGCCCATCGACAGCCAAAAACCAGGAGCCAGTCACCAGCCGCCAGTCACTAGCCGCCAGCCGGCAGCCATCAGGCAGCAGGCAGCAGGCAGCAGGATCCAGGATCCAGTCGAGCAGCCAGTTCCGAAAGCCAAAGAAGGGAAACTTTTATGCGAGTTTTCTGGTGCAGAGGCAACTTTTGCCTTTTATGTTCTTCTCGTTGTCGGCAGCTATCAGTTAGTGTGTGTGTGTGTGTGTGTGTGTGTCAGCATGTGTGTGCGTGGAGGCGCTTATGGCGTTTTGTGTGACATTTATTGTTATTTAACTGTGACAAACTTTAAGGATAAGCATGCATAGACTTGTGTAGTCCTGTCTGATGCGACATGCGGACGCCATGTAAGCCATGCCATGCCATGCCATGCCATGCCACGCCATGCCGTGCGATGCCATCCGCACCTCCTGGCCGCCTCACCTGCCAGGTGAATTTGAAAGTCAACATAAAATATACACGTATTGCTGCGAAATTGAAATCAAAACTGAATATGAACTGTTGTAATGCGCGCTATGAAATATTTATGGCATCCACTACAATATGTATTTTGCTGCAGGATTGCCGAACTTGGCCAGCTGGCAGAGGAGCAGTGGGCGGGGCTGGGTTGTCTATCTAAAATATGAAATTTATTTCATTCGTTCCTAAGTTCACTTGTTATACGAGCTTAATGTCTACAACTCTTAACTTTGCGCATTGATTGGGTTTCTATTTTAAAATATTTTTAATGAACGCAAATTGCATTTTTGTATTTATACGAGGGTGGTCTAAATAATTACCGACCTTAACATGAAGCATAAAATTATGGAATATATAAAAAAAAATATTTATAAATATTAATTATGTACAGTGAAATATATCTAAAATAATATTTCGTATATTTAGTTGCATATGAAATAGAAAATGTATTGAATTAATACAGATCTTAGCTAAGCGAATACCCTTGAGCTCCTTAGCTATCTAAGCACGAAGCAGTCTACAGGGTATCTGTTTACCAATCAAGTTGTTCACACTATATGCGCCTCGAGCTTATTCTGTAATAGTTCGCTTTTCATTGAACTTCTTGAGTAATCAACAGCTTAAGTAACAGGATATCTTTTCAGAGTATCTGCGTCGGCGTTATCCTCGCTGTTAGCTCGCTTATATGCGACTTCCTTCTCTAATAGTTCACTTTCCATTGGGCTAATAATTTCCGTAATTCACACCTATGCGCAACTGGCGGTAAATCAAAGTCAAATGCAAAGCAGGCGTAATAAGCCGTGCCCGCTCCTTGCGCGCACACACGCGCCAAAAGGCAGACAGACAGAAGAGGGTAGGGGCATGTGGCATGCATCCAAGTGGAGGCAGTGGCAGCGGCAGCGGCAGCTAAAAGCTGCTGACTGGCAGCGGATGCGCTGCATTTGAGCATTTGAGCATTTGCACATTTCCGGCATTGTTCACTCAGGCCATGCATAATCGATTAACTGGTGCCCCATAAACATGACCGTAAAATGTGCAAATGCGCGGTTTCGCCTTACGCCGACGCCGACGCCAACCCCGACTCCGATTCCGATTCCGATTCCGACTACGTCTCCAGCTCCAACAGCACTGAATCTGCGAGTGTTTCAGTTGGTGGGTTACATGCATAAATGCAAATGCTATGGCAATACCAGCATCAATACATATGCAAATCAAGCGTCACCCGTTGCCAGCCAGCAACCAGCAGCCAGCAGCCAGCAGCCAGCAGCCAGCAGTTAGCAGTCAGCAGCCAACAAAGAAAACCTCAGCAACAATTGTCAAGAGGCGTAACCGAAGCTTTGTATACCCTATATATTGTTTCTATGACAAGCTTGTCTTTTCTCTTCCTCTCTCTGACATAACCATAACTGAAAGCTGCCACAAATCGATACTTA